CGTCTCAGAGGCTAGACCTTCCCTGAACATGAGAGTTGGTGGAGACACACCTACTGAAGATGTGCTACCAAAAGCATGCTCAAATCTGTTTCCATCCATGCCCAGCAAGCCTGATGGATACAAACCATCAAAGGAGCAACAAGGGGGTATGGAAGCCTACCGCCTCACAAGTTAAAGGTGAAGTCTCGGGCTCAGAGGCAATTTGATGTCAAGAGAGGTGAAAAAGGGTGTTTCTAACAAAACACCACATTTCTTTCCTAAGGATGTCATGGGGGTCATGTCTCCATCTCCATGCAATGGATAGGGGGGCATGTCATCAAACATGAAGAATGGAGTGAGTGGCAAGTCTAAGCGGGGGTTGTGTATCGATTCCACCCATGATTTACATAACTTTGACAGCGTGTCAAAGTGTAGACAAGGAGGCAAGGCCCCTTGTATCATGCCACCCATGAATGGTCGACCAGGGGGCATGCATCAACCACAAACAATAAACAGATAGACGTGCCCAAGAAACCACAACAAACTCAAGCCACACATGTTTGTAGTAAGCATGATAGTATAGCCAAGTGTGGCAGGGGGTCACGTCAACAACCACAACCAGTTGATTGATAGGTGTGCCTAATAAGCTACAACATGAAGCCACACATGCTTTTAGTAAGCATGCTAATATGGAAAATTTTGGCAAGGGGGGCACGTCAATAACCATCAACAATGGTATAGGTGGCATGTCTCGAACTAGTTGACAGAGGGGCATGTCACCGACTGTGAAGAAAGTTTGGAGAGGCAAGCCTAGGAGTGTGGAAAACAATAAAGCCACCCACAAGTTTCCTAGCTAGGAGAGTGTGTCAATGGGTGGCCAAGGAGACAAGTCCATGCCTAACAACCCTCATGACATGCCAAACACGAATCACAGACATGAGGGCATGCACAAGAGATCTTGGCACACACCGCATGGTCCTACAATGGACCAATGGTGGTTATGTGTTAAGTGTAAAAGCCAACAAAACATAGGATTTGAAAGTCAAGTTGACCACAAAAGTGGTCATCAACTCGTTAAGCACAAACACTTGTCTTCCCAACCATGTGGAGAGAGTAAGCATGTGTCAAGTTGGGAGAAACTAAGGCAGAGAACAACTCATGGTCCCTTTGATGGTTCAAAGGAGTTGAAAATTTCAAAAGCACCATCCGGAATGAGGTAGACACATCAGGTTCAACATCAACTCAACATGTCTAGTAAGGTGGCTAAGGCAGAGGATCATGAGATCCCCTACAAGGCCACCAAGACAAGACACGTTGATCGGGTACCATCCATGGTTGAGTTGGAAAATTCAAAACAAACCGATAAGTAGCCATCTTTTTCTAAGGAGAGTAGACATGTGGTCTACAGATGGCTTGTATAGTTTACTCCATGGACTTGGCAGTGGGTATACACCTTTGGCACATTAGTGGTTGCCAAAGGACATGGAAATTAGTGATGTCTGACACTCCTTACTCAAAAAATTATATAATTAAAAATATATATATTAGTAAAATATGAGAATAAAAATGAAAATCGGGAGCCAGTTATGGCTAAAAAAAAGTCAGAGTGGTAAATACTTGTGATATGAGGACCTAGCCAAGATTGGTAAACAATGAGTCATGTGGCTGGGTCTATGGAGTCCCTTACGATCGTTTGATTGATGGGTACACCATGTCACTTCATGGCATCATTAACTGACTGGTTGTTTGGCATTCCATGCCACCCGGCCCAATGAAGATTACTTGTTAAGAAATTTAGATGGTGTGTTTCATGATCGATTGATTAATGATAAATATCTCAAGTCTTATGTCCTTTTCCTTTGGGACACAAGTTGTCCACGAGTTTAAAGTTAACCAACCATCGAGATGGCTGACATGTCAAACCTTTCCCACCCTAAGGCATGACATGATACTTTCTAGATGAAGCATGGCTTGGATAGCTAGCTATGACACAAAGGGTATGTTGGGTTTGAGTATGACGTTGATAGTGGAGACAAGTGAGTGAAAGCCACACCTACTGTTGATGGAGTGTCTACGAGAATCTCATGACATAATTAATATCTTGATTGTGAGAAACTTGATGGATATACTCTTCGAGATTAGAAATCTCTTTGGAACTTCATGGATGAATGAGTATACAACATTGGCTAGCTACATCAGAGTGGAATTCTTGGTGGGAAAGAAAAAAAAATATTAAGTGTTTAGTCTAAGGATCCCTAAGCCGAACGGTTGGAAGAAAAGGTTTCTTTTGTTGTTGAGAGTTGGTTGCTGAAACAGAGGTGTGGGAAGGGTTAATTAACTATGAAACATAATTCTAAACAATAAAATATAGTGAAAATGGATATTTTTAGACTTTTTTTATATTAAATAATATGATTTTATAATTTAATTTATTTTAAAATTATATAAATGAAATAAAATTATTTTTTCTGAAATAAAATTAAAATATGGTAAAGATAATCTTATATTTTCAAAATTGTTTTTCGCAGAAGCTCCAAATCGGAGTTTTCACTTTTATGTTATACAAAAGCGTTTTTCGGCTTTTCAAAAGCAGAGCTTTGATAGGTATTTGACCCCGCTTCAGCTTTTAAAGCCGAAAACTACTTCTAAAAACCGGGTCAAACATTGACATAATTCCATGGACTCTGTGCTAACGTACGAGACAAAGAAAAGAAAGATGAGAGGGATTGGATAAACATGATGGCCATGGTGTATTATAAACATAGCGTGCTTTTGGTGGCCTGTAAACTAAAGCCAAAATTTTGTATAAGGAAAAGGATGATCAGGTGTTGTAAGTTTATTTGGTCCAGTTGGTATCAATAACTTAGTGCATAATCTTAATACACTAAGTTGTGGGGGCATTTGTTTACCCATAAAAAAATCAGGTTGTACCACATCGATTAGCTACAAGAGATTTAATGGATTTATAAGGCTAACTCAACATTAATAATTAAAAGAGTTAGATGGGCCTTGTTGGGTTGGGTTTTAGGGTCTAAATGGCCAAACCCCTTCTTCCCTATACGATGGCCGACCAGTCTCCATGGATCCCATAGCCGGACGATGCCTCTACCCCTTGGTATGAAATTTTGCTCCCAAAAACTAAGTAGGGAAACAAGGCGGCACAACGGGGTGTCAAATGACCAGATACCAAAAAGGGGGTCATCCAGATACTAAGTATGGAAACAAGGCCCCACAACGGGGTGCCAAACGACCAGGTACAAGCCGGGTACCAAAAAGGGGGCCATCTAGAAACTAAGTTTGAAAACAAGGCGGCACATCGGGGTGCCAAACGTCGGGTACCAAGCCAGGTACCAAAAAGGGGGGTCATCCAGAAACTAAGTATGAAAACAAGGCGGCACAATAGGGTGCCAAACGACCGGGTACCAAAAAGTTGATCATCCTGAAACTAATTATGGAAACAAGGAGGCACAACGAGGTGCCAAACGACCAAGTACCAAGCCGTGTACCAAAAAGGGGGCCATCCAGAAACTAAGTTTGGAAACAAGGCGGCACAACGGGGTGCCAAACGACCGGGTACCAAGGCGGGTATCAAAAAGAGGGCCATCCAGAAACTACGAATGAAAACAAGGCGGCACAACGGGGTGCCAAACGACCGGGTAACAAGCCGGGTACCAAAAGGGGGGCCATCCAGACACTAAGTATGAAAACAAAGCGACACAACGGGGTGCCAAACGACCGGGTACCAAAAAGGGGGTCATCCAGAAACTAAGTATGGAAACAAGGCGGCACAACGAGGTGCCGAACGAATGGGTACCAAAAAGCAGGCTGACAACCCTAGTACCCAAACATGAAAATTGGCTAAGTATGGAGTCAAAATGGTACCAAGGCGGCTAGGCATGCCTAATACCCATGTTTGTTACCAAGACAGAGAAATTGGCTAAGTATGAATCAAAGAGGGTACCAGGCCAGCAAGGTACCAACTAGATGAAGTTATGAAAACTAAGTATAAAGATCAAGCCATCAGGGTTGGCTTGGTGGCGGGGCCGACATGGTCGGCTTGGTAGCCGGGGGTACCAAATACGACACATCATAGTACTAAGTTGACATCAATGGAACTAAGTATGGAAGAATCATGAAGGTGTCGTGGTCGTCAAGAAGGCCTGATGGGAGGGCAGATGTGATGGAGGCAAGACAAGGAGGCTCCAACCCTTTTTATTCAAGACGAGGCATCATGATAGACCTCAACTCATCAAGCCTGATGCCAAGCCAACCAGCCAACACTAAGGCGGCGACAAGGGGTCCCTAAGGCGGTTTGAACAATAGGTCGGCTAGTAGTTACTAAGGCGGTTACCAAGGCAGTTACACTTGATGGCTATAAATAGGAGAAAAGAAGACGAGAAAAGGGTTCCAAAACCAACCATTTGACGCACAATGTCAAAGTTTTATCTTTTCTCTCCAAATTAGCCATAGCCTTAGTTTTCAGAGCTCTCACTGAACCTCCATAGGAGTAGGTGTAATTAACGTAGGTTGTTCCCCAAAAAACCATCAAAAACATCAAACACCCTCGTTCGAACATTGTTCGGAGAGGAGTGAACCGTGTTATTAATCATTGTTCAATAAGTCAAGGTGCATTAATTGAGTTCCAACACCAAGTTTTCCTTGCCGTAAAACAAAGGTGCAAGCATTAATTCAAACACAAGAGTTTTCCTTAGCTTTGGGACGTGCAATGTCAAGGGGTCCAATGTGAGCCGGCCACCACAGTGGCCGGCATGACAAGCCTCTCACAACATAAGGCATGGCATGATACTGTCATGATGTAGCTTGGTTTGAGTAGCTAGCCATGGCACGAAAGGTATGTTGAGATAGAAGTATAACATTGATAGTGAAAGCAGTGAAGCCAATTAGATTGGTATCATACTTCATTAATAAAAAGAGAAATTTATTAATAAGACAATGAAAGGAACATATCTTTAAAAGGAAGAATCATAAGAACATCAAAATATGTAAAATAAAGGCCAAATCCATGGCTAAGCCGACTGTTTCAAATCACGAAAGCAAGATAAAAAAATCCACGAAAACAAAGTTGGATTATTGCATATGGCGGAGAGCTTTTTTGACAATGTTTTGCAGCTTGAGGAAAGTAGCAAGATGGGTATTGTACAGAAAGAGGGCATGTTCCTTCTCATGAGCTAGCTGTGCCATAGGTGTGATTGAGCCCATCGTTTCTTTGAGGCCAAGAGCCTCCCCCAATAGCTTTTGGAAGTTTTGAGACATGGGGACAAATTGAGCTTGGTCTTTGGCAGCCTCTACACGAATCTTGGCCAGCTATTTCTCCAGTCCGGCTATCTTGGTTTGGCGAGCTTCTTCCCTTGCTTTGAAACCAATAAGGTCCTCCTTCATAGTCTTGCATTCGCCCGTCATTTTGGTGTAGTTGGCTCAAATGGATTCCCTGTTGACGACTTAGTAAAATGGTGGATGGCCTTTTCCATTGCTAATATACTGAAGCCAAGACTATTCCTAGCACCTTGTAAAATGGCATCTTATTCCTGTCCACTCCTAGAAGTGGGTTGAGCACAACAAGGTTGGATAGTGATTCAAGAGCTTGGGAAGGCCAGTGAGTCTTGGCCACGATTTCCTGCTCAGGAGTGAGTGAGAGGTTGCGGTCCAGCTCAATGAGGGCATCACGTATGGCTTCAGAAGAGGGGGCAATGAGTTGGCCTTCCTCACCAAGTGATTGTAAGTTTTGGAGGAGCTTGAAGTTGTGGTCGAGCAAACTTAGATCCTACAATTATTTTTATTAAGTTACTAATAAGTCGATTCATATAAAAAAATGAAAGCAAGTTGTGGTACTTACCAGGGTTGCAGTAGTGCCACTGGTGGTGGTTTGGAGTTCTGGAGTGGTAGAGGAAGAGAATATAACTTGTCGGTCTCGACCATGTTGATAGTGGATGGTCCAGTGCTAGATCCTGGCAAAGTACGATGGGTATCATGATACTCGATGGGGAGTTGATAGTCGTTGACATTGAGGGTATTCTCCATATGTTTGTTTTTGATGCCATCCTTCAATTTATTAAGGAGGTTGTCTGCCAAGATAACTAGGTTGGAGACGTTGGCTTGATGTCTTGAGGAGAACAAGTTGGCCGTCAAAACATGGAAGGGTGCACCTTTTGATGGCAAGGGAGCAGTAGATGTGGGAAACTTGTGAGTAGAAATCCCAAATCGAAGAGGACCGAATGATGAAGTGTGAGGTACAATCGGTGGATTGATCGAACCTGAAGGGGACCCACTCGTCGCTGACAAGCTTGACGATGAGAGGTTTGTATCCTTCAGCTGGATGAGATCTTCATGGATAAACAAAAGAGATGGTTGGGGTTGCATGGTTGAAGGTGCTTTGTCCGGAATCTCCATTCGGATGGGCCCTGTAGGCTCAGTATCGGTTTTTGAATCTGAAGATATTGCCGTAGGACGATCCTCAAGGTCCTCATCGGAGGAGTTGTCATCTCCTAGTTTTGAGCCCTCGTCATCTTTGTCCTTGTCGTCTCCGTCATCTCCAGAGATATTTTCTTCCTCTCTCACAATTGATGACAAAGACTGCAAAGACAATTCTTATTAGGGTATTGATCTAAGGAATACGAACTAACAAGATGGTTGTAGACACCACATTTTGTCCGGAGCAACCACTCTACTTAAAAATCAAAATGATACCTCACTTAAAACATGAAAGGAAAATTTGAAGTTGAAGGTTGAATAGAATTGGTTGAGATTTGCAGTCGCGAGTCAATAAGTACCAATAATTTTCAAGTTGACTTTTATTTAATTCAACTATCAATCAGTTGAGATTAGCCGTGCCTAGTCAATGAGTACATATTAGTTGAGATTAGACAGAGGGTAATTTTGAACATCAAATGGGTAGAGCTAATTTTTGTCCGGAAAAAATAATTAAGGTTTTGACATTTGGAATGGAGCACACAAAATTTTTGCATGTTTGGAACTCATACATTTCTTTCTCGTTACAATTTGTACATGCTCTTGAATTCAGAGATAAAATCACTATTACAACTACGAAGTACAACTGTACAAGTCTACTAATTACAAGGAAAGAAGTAAACGAAGTTCTAAAGGCCTCCATAACTCATCACCTTGGGCCCAAACGCAAATATCTGGGGTAATTAGCACAAAAGGTCGCAAATGTATGCACTTAGTACAAAACGGTCACAAATTTTTAATTTTGCACGTTTCAGTAACAAATGTTTGGACGAATAACAAAAATGTCATTCCATTCAATTCCATCCAAAAACTCCGTTAGTCATGCTCAGTCAGCATGCCACATCATTTAAAATATTAATACAAAAAATCAAGAATGAAACCCAGTCAACCCAACCGGTTGCCGAGTCAAACCCACATAACCGTCGTCTACCCCACCGTCGACACCACCTCCGCCAAAAACATCTCCTCAATCTCCCAAAATCTCCAGTTTGACGAAACTTCCCTTAGCACCCAATGGAAATCCCAAAAATTGCATATTTCCGTTTATTTCCAATCGACATAGACCAAACCTTAGCAGACTTCATTCTTCCTTTCTTTCTTTGTTTTCTCTCGTTTCTTCTGGTGCTTTAGAAACACCCTTGCCAAAAAAGAAGAAGGGTAAACAAAGGATGCTTTAATCTTTATCCCCTGTCCAACCTCCCTCTCTCACCTCTCTAAATCCCTCGACATGCGTTGTAATGATAAAGGCCGCCTTCACTCTCGCAGTTCAGCTCCGTGAAGAAAGTTCAACTCCCAACTCTCCGGCGTCATGTCTCACGCGGCCAGCTTTCGGTGTGGCAGCCTGACACGCCACGACGCCCAGATCGACGAATTTCGCCTGAGAATCGACGCCTTGCTCTACCCATGCCCGGATAGAGTGATGTTGCCGGCAAGATGAGCAATAGCCCCAATTTCAACTACCCTTTTGAGGTCGGGATCCGTTCCACTCAGGGAAACCCCATCGCCATCAATTTAACGAACTTTGTTGATATTCACGTTATCAATCCCCTGTTTGATATTTTAGGGAGATGGGAAGACAGTGAGCTTGAAGCCCCCAATTTCAGTTGTAAAATGAGTTCGACATCCAAAGCGCATTTTGGGCTGGTCGTGAAGTTATCGCCTGCGCGGAGTCCAACATCTACGCCGGTAACGGCGGGGAAGGAGGGAGAGCGACAGTGTGGAAAGTGGCGGTGGCGAGCAGCGTGGGGAGTGCGTTGGGGATTATGGTACTGGGTTCAGCCGCCACTGTCAGGGATTCCCATCTGATGCAGTGAGGTAGAGGGGTTGAGTCGGCAACTGGTTGGATTGAGTCCCGGTTGATTGGGTATGATCATTATTTTTTTATTAATATTTTAAAGACGTGGCACACTGACTAGGTATGAGTAACGATTTCTTTGGATGGAAATTGACGGAATGACATTTTCGTTATTCGTTCAAACATTTGTTACTGAAACGTGCAAAATTAAAGATTTGTGACCATTTTGTACTAAGTGCATAGGTTTGTGACCTTTTGTACTAATTACCCCAAATATCTGCAAAAAGAAGAAATCGATAAGTTTGAACCCAAATTCAAAACAATCATAACTCAAAGCCAAGGCCACAATCAAGCCCAGGCCCATCTTTGACCAACACAGTCCAGCCCAGTCAACGAGTCAACTACGGTCAACTTGGGTCACTGGACTCCTTGGTCCTCGGCAATTAGAAACACATAAGAGAGGGTAGTGATTCTCAAGAATAGGGGGTTGAATAAAGGGCATCGAAGAAGGCAGAGAGCTAGAAGCCGAAGCCATCGCCATCAGACTACAGAAACCAGGTTGGTTTTCTTCCTGTTTTTTTTCATTTCCATCTCAATCAAGTAAAACATACTTAATATCCATACATCGACATGAGCTTTTTCTCAAATAAACCACTAGAAGTAGAGCAGATTTTGAGGATCTGTGCTTGTTTATGATCCATGCTTGATGTCTACAGATATGTAATGCTCATGTATGTTTACCGTCTTCCTAGAACTCTCTCCGCTATCTTATAAACGAATAAAACACAAGTTTGGTTTGCTTATCCTTTTAAATCTTACCTGTTTAAGCTAGCTTATCCATGTATTATACTAAAGCATACACGTTATCATATATGATCTTTTAGGTCTTTCTAGTAAATGTTGAATTGTTATTTGATCTAGTACCCTAGCTATTCAGGCTTATATGTTCACAAGTCACAAACACGATTGTCAAAACTTTACTAAAACTTTAGCTTTCTTTTAGTTATATAGATCACAAGCAGTGGCTATGATCATTAAAAACTACTCTAGTTTTTTTTTAAACATTTTTCTTGATCAAGCTTAACGCTGATCCAATAAAAGCCCAACACCAGTGTGACTTTCAGATTTAAGCGACTCATACCGGTTTTTCAAAATCAACCATTTTTACCACAATCCAAATTTGGAAGGGAGCTTCCCATCAATCTAATGGTCATAAGCCTTGGCTATGGCCTTGGATTACCTTAAGATCATTTTAGAAATTTAAAATTCAATAAAGCAAATATTCGTTTTTCTAATAGACCCATATCAAATACTAAGGGCAAACAAACCCACCGGGGTTTGAACGAAAAATCTGGTTTATTAACACCAAAAAGATATAAACAAAATTCTAGCCATAATAATCAGCCATCTAGTTTGAGTTTTAGAAGGATATTACCTGGCTTCTCTTCAAATCCTAGAGATCTGTAGAAGCAAGGAAAAATAAGAGTTAGATCCAACAGAAGCCTTAGGCTGAGTCCAATGGGTACTCCATTAATGGGGGAATCTGCAAAAATGAAGGAGGAGATGGTCCAATGGGGAGGTTTGGGCCTCCAAAAATGGAGGATCCTGCAAATGGAACCCCAAATTTGGAGGTGGAAATGGAGGATCCCCCAGATATAGAGGCTCACCAAAGCCCGCCACGTGGCTTTTCTTTTTCTTTTTAAGATTTTAGGTGTTAATTGAGAGTTTAATTAGGGGATTAGTTAGGGATTTAATTATATCAATCATTTTCAAGTGTTGTGTGTAAACCCAAATTAGGTACATAATTTTTTGTCAAAAAAATTCGGACTCGGAATTTAACAAAATTCTATCGAAAAATTTGTATGAAAAAATGATGACGAACTATACAAAAATTAACATGAATAAATTATATTAAGGCTAGGATAAGTACATTTTTAAGTAAATGGAAAAACTGAAAATATTAAGAACTCCAAATATGGAGTTTGTTGCATTGGAGCAAAAGAAGGGAAAATGGGGTTCAATCCCCAAATTTGGGGTTCAAGGCCCCAAATTTGGAGTTTTGCATTGGACTTGGCCTTAGTGAAAAAAAGACATTAAAATCGAAACTCAAAAGAAAGGATACAGACTTGAACCCACCTTAAACGGGGAGAGTAATCGGTGAGCTCGCCGTTCCCGTCTCCGCCGCTGGGTTCGTCAAGGCCGGCGCGATTCTCCACCTCCCAACTCATCGACAACCAAAACACAACAAAATTAGAACCCCAAACCCGAACCTAAATCAGAAGGAAAAAAGATCCAAGCCTACCTCGTTTATCCCTCGGTTTGGCCGTCGCCGGCGGTCTGGTCCCTTCTCCTTCTCGTCGAAAAGAAACGAAATCCAAAAATTAGAATCAGGTTTTTGAAATAGGAAATCAAAAGAAAACCTACATGCAAGCCAAAATCTTACCTAGATCGCAATATTTCTGGTCAATGTGGGAGTCCGAGTCGTTCTTGTGTCCAGCGATCGAAGATAGGGAGAGGAGTCTCGTTTTGTTGTTTCTATTCGTGTTTCAGAGGAAGAGTTTCCTCTTATTTCTTCCCGTCTCAGAGGAGGAGAGAGAGAAAGGCGGCTAGGGTTGTTGATTTTTGTCTGGAGGAGAAGAAGAGAGACGAGAGGGAGAGGGAGAGAGGCGAGAGAGATAGGCGGCCGCTATGGCCTTTTAGGTTTTCCAGAAAATAATTTATACTTGGTTGCGCAAACGACTAGATTGTCCTTAGGGTTTCCTTAAAATTACATACCCCTGCCACCGTTCTTTTACGTAATTACCAAAGTGCCCTTCCCTCGTCTCTGCACTAAAAATCGAAAATAAAAAAATTGGCGAGAACGAGTTTCGAACCCGTGTCCTCATGTACGAACGAGCTGGACGACTGACACTTTAGCCAGTTGGGTTGCTGGCCCATCATTTCTAAATTCAATATCCCGTTTCTTTTTATTGTTTAATATCATTAATACAAAATGTTGAATGCGGATTAAGTTTATCTTGTTTCTTTTCTAATGCATCAAAATTACTTCTTAATAGCTAAAATCCTAGTGTTCTTTTTTTCATAACTTCATAATAAATCAACTTAAATCTCATTAACAATTTTTTTTTTTAATACAAGAACCACGATCGGTGGAACGTAGTAAAAGTTACATTCAAAATTATCAAAGTCACATAACGAACTACGTGGACTTTGATCCCGTATTACGGGTACTTAGGCAACCGATAAGGTTCGAGTCCAACTAAGCAATTAACTTTATCATTTAATTTTTATGTCAGTGGGTGTATAATTAAATTACAGCTAATATGATTAAAATTATTTAATGGTCCATTGGGATCCTAAAATTAAAAAATTATTACCAAAATACACCCAACTCGTATAAAAACTTATCGACTTAAGTAACCGTACTCCCGAACCCGAATCTCTTAATCGCAGACCACACCTCGGTTCTGACCCTAAGGTTAGAGCCTACCGAAGAGTGTTTGATCCACTTCAAGTAAGATCGATGGCGACTCCAAAGAGAACGCGACCCGACGACCCCCGGAGGGAAGGTTGCGACAGATGGCAACTCCGCTAGGGACTATTAGAGAGTCAAGCTACATAATTAAGTTCGATAAGTTTTTCTAACTTTCTATTACGTGTTGGGTGTTTACTTTATTATTTGCACAATTATATTTTAGCAATTAAATTCTGCATTCATGCATAAAAGCTCTATACCCGAGCTATCCTTTTAGAAAATTGAAAGGATTACCGTGACATCCACAGTAGTGGTAGTCACGCAAAATTTTCTAACCAAGTTGAACTCAGATCCGAGGATGATCTCAGCTCGAGAGGGCTATGGTAGGATACAACTTGGGAGCCAAATCCCTAGAAATTCCTCTGCAAGCAAATAGTAAACATAGCAACCACCTTCAGCCATCCTTAACATATCCCGAAACTATCCTAAAATCACGTCAGTATGCCCTCCGAAAGCCCTAGGTCTACCAAAATAGGGTTATGATTTTATTATCTGTATATATATATATTTTCTAACTATGTGATAACTTGTGTTGTATACTTCCAATCGCAAAATAATTTGTATGTGTGAACATTGTAATTTTTTTTTATAAAATAAAACTTATAAGCACCATTCTCTCTTTGTTTTTCGCTTATGCATTCGAAATAAATCATGAAAACATTTTAAAAGTGCACGTGCATCCATTGAATCATCAGTGCATCTATGCATCACACATACACCATCATTAAAAAAGGAAATAATTTGACAATATTGAG